ATCCAGTAACAGATGGAGGGGAGAAGGTAAGAGGAGGAGGCTGAGTATCTCAAAGCATGTACACAATGAAGATGAATTGGAAAGCTAAGGATCACAAAGGAGAAAAGGAAAAGAAAAAAGTTTTATAAATATGCTAGGAGGGGCTGGGGATTTAGCTCAGCGGCAAAGTGCCTGCCTGGCAAGTGCAAGGCCGTGAGTTTGATTCCTGGTACCAGAAGAAAAACAAAAACAAAATAAATATGCTAGGAATATTTGCTAATGTTTCTAAAAATTGTTAAGTGGTAATTTAAAATGCTTAACTTGGATATAATGAACAGCTGCACAAACTATACAGGGAGCTGTTCTGTGCACTTCAATTCAAATGTGCTCTGCTCTCTCGAAGAGGAGCAGGACAATCAGGTAGACCATACTGCTATCTCTCTTCCAGAAGTAGGGATAGTCCTTGGTTACAAGAAGAGCGGAAATTTAAATTCACTCATTTTTTTGGAGATCAGGCCACAGCTAATCCAATTTTGCCATTACAGTTTGTCTCTTCCAGAGAAGGAGTGCAGACTTCCAGGAGAAAAGCCGTGAAGCAGAGGAACGGAGAGCACAGGGTGTGGATTCCAGAAAATGAATGTTGAATGTAGCTCTGCTGCATGGTACCTGTCACAAATTAACTGGCCTCTAAGAGCCATGGGTTTTGAACATCTAATTCATGGGGTTGCCGGAGGATTATATGAAACTGTGTATATGTATAAGCATTTACACACAAACATAGTTCCGCTCTGTAAGAGCACATGCAAAAAAAGGAAATATGAAGACCATCCAAAGAATTAAAGCATGAAGATAACTTACCCTTTGGTGGAAAAAGCATCTGGTAACTTCAGTGTGGTAAAAGAAGATTTCTGCTTTTCATCTTGTATCTTCAGCTGTATAGGCCGTTTACTCCCCCCCAAAAATATCCAGCATTCCTTCAATGATTAGTTTCCCATCTTCAGTCTAAGGAAGAAACCAATAGTCTTCATAATTGTTCGTATAGAAGATACATGTTTTAACTGAAGATGTAGAAAGTAAGTCCATAAAAATGTTAATACATTAGAAAATTCCTGAGGGAAATTGTCTGGCTTCTTAATTTACCAGCAAAATACTTTTACATTTTTGAAACATTCATTTATTGTTAGACATACCTACACCTGGCAGAGTAAGTCACATTATAATGGCATGTCCAATAGATAGCATATTTTATAAAAATGTTTTGTGAA